TTGCCTCTGCTTGCACCCCGGGAGGGAAGGGGGCATATGCCCCTGGATCTGTGTGGCGGCAGCTGCAGGGTGGAGCTGGAGCTGGCACTGCGCAGGGCTTTCCTTGCCAGTGGCTGGGCTCAGAGTGGGCTCTGGGAGGGGCTGCAGCCACTCCAAATTTTGCCACAGTTCTGCTCCCGGACTCATGCCACTGTCCAGCACGGCCCTGGCTTTTCCCGGTGCTTGAGTGGAGGCAGAGCATTCAGCCAGGGTTCAGCTGGGCAGCGGCGCTGGGCTGGGAGCAGAGCTGTGGCTAAATCTGGGGTGACTGCAGCCTCCTCCCAGTGACGCTGGAGCATGCTCCAAGCCCAGCCCCCAGCAAGAAGAGCTACACAGCGCTGGCTCCAGGTCCACCCCCTAGCTGCTGCCCACCCTGTGCTGCACAGATCCAGAGGCACACGCTCCCCCCACCCTCCCGAGGTGCAAGCAGCAGTGGGAGCTGCCCTCACCATGAGCTGCAGCTCCGTCTTGCACCCCCCCACACCGTCTGCCTGCCCATGCCCCCTCCCTCACCATGGCAGGGGGTGTTGATCTGCCCCACCATGCTCCTTCCCTCCCCCCTCCCCTTCTGACTTACTAGCTGGGGTGGCAGTGAGCCATGAGGGCTTCCTTCTCCACGCTGCCAGCTCTGCTCCATGCTGTACTGTGGCTGCACACAGCACACGCATTTGTTAGCCAAATTATCGGCACCATGGGGCCAATATCCGATACACACAATTTTCTTCATGTCAGTACCCATCTGGTATCAGATTGAAGTACTGGTGCACCTCTAACATTTATTGACTAAAATTATGGATTCAGAAGTAAAATACTGAAATCTTTATTACTAGACAGGAACACGAGTTATTAAACTGCTAACAGAATAATCAAGACAACTCATTGCTGACATATTTCCTCACACCTCTTTCCTACAGAAGCTGACCAATTTGTCACACCTCTACCTAGGACATAATGCACTAGATTCTGTACCTCTAAATCTGCCAGAGAGCCTGTATATTCTGCACCTTCAGGTATTCTCAAAATATTCCTGTTATTATAATACAAAGAGTATGACTAATAATTTAAATTCAACCCTATGTAGCTTTTATATAGGTTCTGCACGTGTAATACATTCAAACTAACCTTGTTTTGTTCTTGCAGTTTAACAACATAACTACAATCAAAGACGATACTTTCTGCAAATCTAACAACACACGTTATGTCCACCCACATATGGAAGAGATAAGAATGGAAGGCAATCCAATCATCTTGGGAAAGCATCCTAATGCTTTTTCCTGCTTGAGAACGCTGCCTACAGGAGCATACTACTAACCACTACCTATACAATTATACATGCTATAAACTTAAGTATGATAACAGAAGATCATTTTTGTTTCTGAGTTTAAATGGTTACATCCTCTCCCTTTTTAACAGTTTCTCTACGTACCCAAAGAATATTTAACCATAATATAAATGTATTCTAGTCTGGAAACTAACTATGTAAAAATGCACTTTTCACTTGCCATTCCCAATACCACCCATGTGTTCAAAATCATATGGTTTTGACAGTATAAAAAAGTCTCCAACTCACAATCCTTAGGTTTGCAAACATTCTTTATTCAGAGGTAGAGCTATACAAAAATATTGTTTGGATTTTTTCCAGGCTTGGCAGCAACCTGAAAAGATTTGATTTCAGGTTGACACAAAAGAAAACTTCCAAGGAAGTGTCTAAATGCAACATTTTCAGTCATTTCAGAATTTTTTTCCCAGCAAAACTGATGCAAATCTTTCAGTCAAAAACAGATTCTTAACTGAAGAACTTTATCAAGCTCTATTTAGAGATATCATTCCTTTCAGTTAAATGTTTTAGTAGTAATACTCCTGTGACTAAAGGTTGTGGGTTACTTTAAGTTTGAATTACTTTATTCTTATTAGCACTGTAGAGCCACCACAGTACAAAGAATGGTATCCTGGCCTGTACATCAGCACAGTTGGTGACCCAATTCCAAGCACCAGCACAACTCTGTTTTCAATTAGCCACATTAGGATTACAATGGTATAAGAACACACAGACTCTCATGATGAAACATCTTTAATACTGATTAAAATACATTAACTTGACAGAGCATTATTTTGCTAAGGATTTCCTTTGATTTCATTTCAGGAAAAGTAGTTGAGCTTAAATAAGGTTTAAGTAAGCATGGAAGTACTATTGTTTTTTATTTGTAAATAAAATATGTTGCTAAGGAATTCACTGAGAAGAAACAAAAAGATTTTTTACATGAGTCATTCTGAAGAGTAAAAACTTTTTTCAATTATTTGAAAACTGCAAAAATACTTTGAATAAAAATCAAAGTTGATCTTATTATCAAGTACAGAACCACGTTTAAAAAAGTAATGTGAAACTTGATTAACACCATTTAACCCTCAATTACTTTAAGACCCAGGCACCACCTCTCATATTAATGATCAGGACTTTTGACAGTCAACTCATATTAAAGCAGAGATAATACCCTAGAGATATTAATTCTAACAACATTAATACACATGTTCAAATATTTTTTTCTTTCAAGTGATTTGTTCATTTGTTTGTTTTAATAAAAATCTGGAGTGAGCTCATATGGCTTAATTGCTTCAGAAATATGAATGCTAAAACAAAAAAATGCTACATGGTTAATACAAGACTTTCCTAGGCAAGAGATACACATAAGGAGCTTGGTGAAACATGAGAAGTTATAAATTTCCTAATAATATAATAACTAGCTTAGGATCTTTATTAGTATAGTTATTTTAACTTCAGGTTTATAATGCAAGATTTAGGGCGGGGTGGTATTTCTAAGACTTATTAGTAACTTTTTCATTTCACACTTAGTAAAACAATATCATATCACTGTGCTGTAGGGCATTAAAAACTGGACAGTGAATGCTCTGAAGTGTCCATTAAATGCCTCAGATACCTCCATATTTACCTGAATCTAAGACAACTTTGAGTTTAAGATAACCCCTCAATAATTACATTCTAAACCTAGAAAATTATAAATGTTATAATTTTCCACCTCTAGAATTTAATTATTGGAGGTTGTCTTTAATCTGTCCCCCTTACTGTTATGCCATAAAAGCTGTGGCAAACAATGGGAAAAGCAGCTGGAGGTAGAAGCAGGGAGAAAGCAGGGGTAGGGGAGACAGGCTGCCTGCCCCCACCCACTGTCCCCTGGTGCCTGCCCCCTCACCACTTTCCTATCCCTTGACTCCCCCCACCTACCTCCACCTTACCCCTGCACCCGCTACAGCTGAGTCAGACTGCAACTAGGAGCCATGAAGGGCAGCTCGGCAGGGAGCCCAGCTGGCTGGAGAGCACAGCAGCAGCATGCAGATTCCTCCTTCCCTGCCTGGCTCCCTGTCAGCAAGGCAGACAGACAAGGGGAGGCAGGAAGGGGGGCTGGGCAGACATTGGAAATAGTAATCTATATGCTGCTAATGCTGTCCCTACCCCAGCTGGGCTCCCTGCACAGCCACTTCTCACAGCTCCCAGGTGTGATACATTATTCTAAGAAGAGGCTTTGTTTTCCGCATGATGAATGGGGGTGGGGAAGGACAACCTCGTCAAGTAAAAATAAACAGTCAAGTCAAGTAAATGCAGTGCGACTGTGAACATGTGAGTACAGAAATCTAACAGGCTTTTTAGTAGTGTCCAAATCAAAAAGGTTACTTGGGTTGGTATGTTCTCCTGAAAGAAAAAACATGGTTAAAATAGTTTTAAACATGGAAAGCCACAAGATCTTTATGCCTCTGCTCTGTAATTTATAGTAAACTTAGTAGCAATTTAAATTCTCTACTTTTAAACATGAATTTATCAGTCTACTATGCCTGTTAATAAACTTAGAGAGTTAATCTAAATGTTGTATTACCACTTTCCATTTAAATATATTAAATGACTTATGAAACGCTGATGCTTTAATATTTTAGTCCCATGTAAAAATATTTAAAATAATTCCACAGCAAATGAAATTAAATTCAAAGTTCAAGTCAAAGTGATGCTAAGAGGAAAAAGGAAACAAACAAACAAACGCACACTATAAGGACACACTTTTGTCCTTATAATGTCAATTGCTTAAGATAAAGAAAACTCAAATAAACAATAGCCAGTGTACAATATTGTTGCACATGTAGTATCCCAGATCTTGCCCTCATTATAAATCATTAATAATAAACAAAGTTTTCAATAATTAATAAGATCAAAAATGATTACAAATGGTCTTTACACTGCTTTCCTAGGATAATATTATTTTATATATTAGAAAGCTATATTAAAATTACACTTCAACTGCCATTAAAAGCTTAATTTATAAAATGTACTAGATATTAGCAGTTATGCTGATTTCAGTTAAAGGTAAGTGGTATTCTCTGAAAACCATAAAAGTGCATTAATAATGCACAATAATTAATTTATCCTTCCCACCTAATAGTAGTTTAGCTCTCCAGATCCCTTAAATAATATTAATATGGCTGTAAAATGAAGGGATTTTTAAAATGTGTTAATAAATAAAATTTGTACCGCATGCTTACTTCATTAGTAATCATATCTTATGAAGCTGAATATGGATTTCTTGCCCTACTGATTTTTTTAAAATGAAAGTTTAAATTACTGTTCTCTTATCAGTTCACTAGCATCAATTAAAACATATCAGCAGAGCTCCCAAAGCAGATCTGATTATTTAAAACTTTACAAGTCTACATTAGCATATTATGAATTTATGCCATCCATGTTGCTGCACTGGTGCAAATCCCGAATGTAGATGTACTTCATTGCTACTAGGGGACAGCAGGAATATAAATCAATTGGTTTAACTACAGTATTAACCCCAACAAATAAAAAGGGCATGTAGAAGACACTTCCTCACCCCTTCTGACTATACACGGGACATTTTTGCGAAGCATGGGCAGAAGTAGGTATAAAAAAAGTTAGTGCTATTTTTAAATGTATACATTTATAACCTAGGAAAACTAATTCTACAAGATTACAGTACTGTTATAATTTTTAAACTATAATGCTTAGCAGTTGCATTAAAAAAATGGACCTACCTGTTTATCATATCTATTTATTTATATATCTTGACTTCCCTAGAAGTCAGCCAAAGACATTTTGGGGTTATTGCTCATTGCTTGCTTTAAAATTATAGGTAACTATATTAACTGCCATAGAGATGTGATTTACAAGATCTAGCATAACCATCAGTCCTTAAATTACTACAGTTTTACTTGCAGTTCATCACCTATATAAAATGCATTTATAGCAAGATTTTTGTACCCGAGGGAGAAAGCATTTCCAAAAGTGTCAAATATCTCTCACAAATATAGTTAGTCCAATAAAACATATAACAAAAACACTGTTTTTCTAACAGAAATCAATCAAATATGTTTCAATTTAGTTAACAAAATCATTACAGCTCTTAAAGCAGAAAGTTCTATGCAGGAACAAAAACCAAGTGTGGCTGCTTCACATCTCAAAGAAAGTCTTAGTATGGAGAGGCAAGGATTTCTTAGGGTGATGTCTTTTATTAGACCAGCTATGTAGTTGAGAAAGTGCTAAACGAGCTTTCAATGCAAGGCATTCTTCCTCAGGTCTCTGATCACAGGGAACTAGGCATGGCATAGTCACTATGACTCCCTGTAATCAGAGACCTGAGGAAGAATGTCTTTTATTTGAAAGTTTGTCTAACTCTATCCAAATGACACAGTTGGTCCAATAAAAGATTACCAACCAAAAAAATCGTTGCCTTACACAGAATTTCTCGACCACTACAGCTACAATATTACTCTTATATTAATTACTATTAGCATGAAGAAACATATAATAGGATGGCCACCTATTTAGGAAATTTGCCAAAAACTAACATTTCTCATGGCTACCCAACCATTACTATTCTAAATAGTCTTGTAAAATATTTAACACAGACAAAAAACTGTAAAACAGCGATTTGGGGGACAGTCTCCATTCGTTATCATTTAATTCCCCCATCAGCCATATTCCCCACATGAAATAACCTAACATCTCACTCTTCAGGGTGGACCACCCCAGGACACAAATGCACACCATAAGCAACACTGTTAAAATTTACATATGTGATTATATGGGGATGGTGTCTGTACCCTTGTGATACTGTCAAAGATTTCTAAAGTATGTAAAAAGGAATATTTATTTTTAACATAAGGTATCCTTTTATTTTCAGACAGGTGCTAACAGTACTATATTCACTGTTTCATCCTTTCCCAAAGTCTATTAGCAAGGAAACAGAAATAAACTATACCATGGTCATGTTTTCACCATTTCCTATATCATGCCTCTGGACCTTTTACTGCCTCTCCCACCTTAAGAAATACTCTTTATACTTCTACAAAAAGCAAACTAATTCTCTTAATAGGTCTACATTCTTCACATTTAGTAAAATGTCCCCAAAAATGTATGCTTTTTCTAAACACTTCTGTTATAAAAGCTGTTTAAAAAAAGAACATTATACTTGTCATACAGAAAGATATTTCTGGTATATCAATAGCAAGTCATCATAAATTTGTGACCTTCACTACTCATTAGCCAGCATTAATATTTTACAATCTAAATACCAGTTTACCAGGGCAAACAAACTTTTCCCATCTTTTATTATCCAAGTGTCTATATACACATTTTAAGGACTAATAATGTATCACTGAACATGGTGGCTACAAGTAATCCATATTTCCCTGTTCCTTCTTTTCCATGTGAGAGCCCTTGAAAGAACAAACAGAACTGTTCTTATACTATGGCTTGAAGTACTTCAGGGTGGATTTATCTGAATAGCTTCAGAGAAATATAGGATAAAAAAAATTACACAATCTTTACTCATCTCACTCCTGCTCCAGCACACAATTGGGAGGTGCAACAAAAATAAAAAAGGTTGAGCATTACATGAGTGAATGGTTCCATGAATACATGAGAGAAACAGCATGGAAAAGTTATGTAGAAGAGTGCAACAGAAAATATTACAAGAGAAAAAATTATTCTAAACATATGAAAAAGTAATGGTACATATTAGAGTTTAGGTACTGAAAGACTAAGGTTCATTCACAGTGCAAGGAGTGTTTGGAAGAAGGAAATGAGTTAGAAAGCTTACTGAGGGAACTATTTAAGATGGGTAACGGTACGCTTAGTGTACAACACATTTAATAAGCATTTTAATCATTTTAAAGAAATTATCAAGAAATCTATTATCCTGGAACTAAAAAGAGTGCTGGTAAGTTAGGTAATAAAATTTGCTTGTACCTTTTATAATTATGCATATTGAAATTAAATAAGGGAAACACATCACTCAAGTGCCTATTCATGTCATAATAAGACCAATAAATAAACAAACAAAACCAGAAATACCTCTAGGAAGGTCCAACCAAGATAAGTTATTAATATTCTCTGAAAGACATCATCCAACTTTATCTTTGAACTTTTAAGGTATTGATCAAAGTAAAAGGAAGTAACATGACTAGAAAATGTTTCAAGATTTTATCATCAAAAGTGGAGCAACACAAGAGTCTATATAGCATTCACAATTCTATTCTAGGCCTTTGACATTAAAATTAGTGATTTCCTAACCTGTCAAACTTAAATCATTACTTTCTCTAAAGAGTATTAAAAAACGTTATACCCTCTAGTCTGAACCAAAATACACAAACCCTCCTCAGAATACTCTCTCTCAAATTTTAATCTGTTGCTGCATGATGTTAGTAACGTAGGTTTTGAGGGGGGAGGGAGGTTGTTTTGTTTACGAAAGTTCTTTTCTGTCAAACTAATTCACTGGCATTATAGACAGATATTTTCATAGTTATAAGTATCAAGCCATTTTCTAAGTATGTTATTAGAATAATATTATGTATCTTTACATAAAGTACTTAACTGCATATATTTGCAGTACATTCAGACATGGAATGAAATTACTATAGTGCTTTTGTTTTTTATTGTTACTTATATTTTTTTTTATTGTCTAAGGAGTTCTGTCAAATAAAAAAAAGCAGAAAAAAGTTAAAGTTCATTTCTTAAAAATGAGACAAAGGAGAATACTGAAATGACTATGTTTGGGATTGTCAGGATGTATCCTAGAAATGCAATTATTAGCAAATTTTGGTTTTTAAAAATTCTTCTTTCAGAGCACAGCTATAGTATAATTCACCTGACAATAACAGGTTAAGATGGGAATTAAATTATGCAATCGCTATACTGATCTTTATTTAAAAACAAGCAAACAAACATATGTTGGAACCTTACAACTAATCACAGATCTTCCACTATGGTTCCTGAATTAATCTTACCCAAGTATGCATGCTCATACCATTTTAAAGACATGCATCGTATTCTTTACACATATGGCAAGTAATCATGCATATATGAACAGAGGTGTCATCATAATGATTAAGACAGATTTAATACTAATATATTAACGCATTTGAAGTTTTTGGCTGACAATACATTGCCCATAGACTAGTCATCATAATTAGTCCCTATTTTGCAAAATGGCTTGGTTAGCATTTAAGCATGAAAGTTTAAGTAAAACTACAGCAGGAAGAATGAAAGACCATTAAAGAATAATGATTATTCGGGTTCAATAATTACACAAAACAAAGCAAACATTAAATTGAATGAATAACATTGTGATTTAAAGTAAATTGCACTCAAAACTACTACTCTCCAATTACCATTGAAATGCAGGAAGAAAGCGCTACCTTCCAGATTTGTGCTGCATTCTCCAAAGGGAAAATATCTCCCTCGTCATTACATCAAGGCCAAGACATATCCTTAGATACAACATAGTCTACGAACACTGCTTTATTCTAATTTTAGGCAGAAGTGGAATACCACATGAACCACCTATGAACAATTTAGTTTATTTACTCTATTGAAAAGCATCAGTTACCTTTCATTTTACAGGCAGATTATAATTTAAACAAGAATCGGAAAGATGCTACAGTAAAAAACAACCCAAATACCAAAGAATCACATAAAAAAGGAATTATTCCTTGCTCACATGGTAAATTTAAAAAATAGCAAGTGTAAAAACTGGGGTAACTTTCTCTTCCTCCAAATCTAGTTACAATAATATTATGCATTAAGAAGTAAGTGACTACATGTGGCAATGTTGTGCTCTGGGGGTGGCCATGATGCCCCCTGGTGGCCACGCAGCCCGTGATCCATTCTGTCTCTAGAATACCCTCCCCTTCTTACCTGCTACACTTTGATGTACTGATTGAATTAAAAAGGAGGCTGCCTGAGTGTCACAGAGGGAGCCTCAACCTCTCTAACGACTAACAGGTCCCTAGTGGACTCTGCTGGTCTCAATTCTGCCCTTAAACTGAGTGGGCATACTCAATCCATCTGTGCCCCAGGGCACCTGTAGCCTTAAAGGCTCATCAGAGCCTCTCACCTTGCCTTCAGCTGTGCCCATGCCTCACAGGTGTACTGTACCATCATTCCCATGTTGGGGCCTCAACCTTCTCAGCCTCCACTTCTTTTCTTTAGCTGGGCCTTCACCCACTATACTGGACCTGGCTTCTAGGCACCAGCTCTTATCTTAATTACTTTAGTTCTGAGGCCCCTGGCCCAGTTTCTGCCCTGCTCTGGGCAGTGAGACTGCTTCAGCTCTGTCTGGACCACCAGCCCTATCTTGCTTGAGTTGTGCTTGACTGCAGTCCTTCCCTAGGCTGCCACCCTAATAAGACTCAAGGCCAACTCCATGTCCTGGGTCCCCTCAGCCCTAAGTGGGCTCCAGACACTTTTGTGCCCTCAGGCACTATTGGAACTTCCATACCACCCCTGCTACTCCCAAACCCAAAACACAAGTATAAACTATAACTAATGTTCCATGTTTTCAGGGGTTTTTAAAAAAAAACCAACCAAACAAAAAAACCCAGGAATTTTTCAGGATTTATTTTCCAAACGTAAAAACCAGGTTGAAATCGGGATAAAAGGAAGAAAAGAAAAAAAAATGGTTTAAATCAGGGAAAATAATAATACATTTCTGTGGTGGGGAGGGAGGGAGGGAGTGAGTAAGGCTGGGACTAGGGAAGGGGCAGGGGGAGGGGTGCAGCGCAGCCTGTCAACCGCTCCCAGTGCTGCAGCAGGGAGCAAAGCGGAAGGAACTATCAGTGGGTGTGGGGCGGGGGGGCGTGACTCTTGCTGCTACGTGCAACCCAGGAGGGCTGCGGGCTGGGGGGCTGTGCCAGGGTCTTCCCAGGGGGCACGTGCCCGCCAGATCTGTGCGCAGGAGAGAAGGCTGCTGCTGCAGGCTGGGGCTGGCAGCAACACTGGGCTCTTCCTGGTGCTCGGGGCGGGTGGCAACCTGCTCTCATCTGGCACACAGATCTGGGGCCACGCACCCCCCAGGAAGAGCCCAGTGAAGCCCCCAGCCTGCAGACCTCCCAGGGTGCACATAGCAGCAAAAGCCATGCCCCCCCCACCTCACACTCACTGACTTACAATTCCCTCCACAGCTGGTGTCAGCTGTTCCCAAGGCCACTGACGCAGGGGCTGGGGCAAGTGGGAACAAGCAGAGCCCCAGGGGGCACGGTGCAGCTTGTCCCCACTCACTCCAGCCCCTGCTTCAGCAGCCCCAGGAGTGGCTGATGCCAGCTGCCTGCAGCTGCTGGGCTGTGCCATGCCCCGAACCCTCTAAGGCTCCGCTTGTCTCTAACTGACACCAGCCCCTGGCAGCTGGCATTGGCTGCTCCTGGGACCGCTGCAGCAGGGGCTGGGGTGAGTGGCAATACGTGAAGCCCCAGGGTGTGATGCAGCTTGGCCCCGCTCACCTCAGCCCCTGCTGCAGCAGTCCCGGGAGCAGCCGATGCCAGCTGCCTGCAGCTGCTGAGCAGTGCTACAGCCCAAACTCCTCAGGGCTCTGCTTATCCCCATTCACCCCAACCGCTGCTGCAGAAGCCCTGGGAGCAGCCAGCATCACGGCACAGCCCAGGGACCGCGGGGAGTGGCGTGCAACCGGACACAGGGGGGAGAACCCAACTCCAACCAGTGGCTCCTACCCTGTGGGTCCATGTGGAGTGGCTGGGTGCAGCGTTCGCCGCAGGGAGCAGAGCCAGGCTCTCCTGCCTGCCCCCTGGCAGGGCTTGCAGCTCCCAGCACCCAGGGCAGGGTGACAGCCAGAGCCACTGGGGTGCAGCTAGGACCCACTCACCCTGGGAGCAATTCACATGGCCCCTCTCGCCTCACCTGGGATCAGAGCCAGGAGCGCCCTGCGCCACCAGGCAGTAGCTCCAGCCACCCTCCCCCAGCCCCCACGTGGCCACCACCCTCTTCTCTGCATGTGGCTACTGCCATACCCTGTCCCCTCTCCCCTCCATGTCCGGCCGGAAACCTGTGCCTCAGGTAACCAGCACTTTTAGCTTATCGGCACCCCCCAGTCATTCCCCACTCATGCTGGTTAACAGGGATTTAATTGTACCCAGTAAAACTGAGTGAACTGAAAAACAGGAGTAAATCAGTAAAAATACGTAAAAGCCAAATAACTTCAATTTAAATAATCAGGGAATTTATCAGTGAAAAAAATCAGGAAAAACTAAAAACACAGAACACTAACTATAACAAAGGAAAAAGCCTCTATCTACAACACCAATTAACCTACTCTGGGTCCGAACATAAACTGTGGCTATCTGTCTGTACAACAGGCTTCTCTTTATCCTGGGTCACACTTCTGTTTGCCTCCCCTAAGATAGCACCAGTGCCAGCTAGGAGCTCTTGTGGCCCCTCCTACTCTGGAGCTCCTTCCTTTGCAGCCTCCAGAGCCAGACTGACTAAGTAGGTTCAGGCTCTGAGCTTATATACATGCTAAGCCCTGCCCCCTTCCAGTCAAGTGCTTCAGCAGCCATCACAGGTGTGTTTATCCTGACCCTGAGGACCTGCCCACTTGCCCCGCAGCTGCTTAGCTGCTGTTTGCAGCTCTTAGCCCCGGAGTAGTCTGGCTATTTGTCCCTTGTGTCTGTTACTGCTGTCTTTTGGCTACACCTCAGCTAGCAAGTAGCTAGTTCCTTAGCTGCTAGCTTTCCCTGACCAGCTCATCCTGTTGCAGCTTCCTAAGTAACAGGAGCCTTCTGGCTCCCTTTTACACTACATGAAATAAATATATTTTATTATTCTGAAAAGTCCTGTACAAAGTACCACTTTTGTTTTCTTTGCTCTTTCAAGTAAAACATGTTGATCATATACACAAAGAATATATAGATATATAAAAATATAAACGTTTATTAACACACTACCTTGAAATGTAGGAAGGTGCATTTACGATGTTTACACCACTGAGCGAAGTTGGAAAAGGCTCTAAAAAAAAGCAGAAGGTTTCCTTCTTCTTCAGCCCTATAGGGAAAAAAGTATGTAGGTCAATAAGTAGGCCTTGTAACATGTATCTATGAGGAGCATAATTTTTTTCTGCTACAGAATTTAACTGGTTTCATAAGATTTGGTTCTTAGGACTGAAACTTACAACAGCTTTCAGACTGGAAGAACCCATGCCAAGTCAAAAGGAATCTGAATAATGCTCACAGAAGAACTGAATAGTTTTTCAACCATAACTTTAATCACTGAGGACACAGACAGAATGATAAAAGTAGTCCTGTAGAGAAGACAAGATGAATGTAATAACTTGAGGTAGGCAAGGTTCTCTGGGTAGATGTGATATCTTTTATTAGACTGAGTAGTTGGAAAAATGCTCTTTGCAAGCTTTCAGGCATAAGCACCCTTCTTCAGGCATAGGGAGTCTCTGCTGTTGTTCTGAGATCTCCAAAGAATGAAAGAAGCTAAAAGTGTGACATAGGTCACTGAGAAAGTAAATTGATGGAAATTAGGAAAACAATAGGAAGAGAAGGGAGTGGAGGGAAACAGAGGGGGAGAAATAATGCCAAACCAGAGACTCCCTATGCCTGAAAGGTGCTTGTGCCGGAAACCTTGCCAAGAACTAGGGCTGTCAATTATTTTTGGTTAATGTGCACTATTAACACATTAATTGTTGTTCATGATAATTTTTTTAATGTGTTAATTGCACACGTGGTTTTGGAGCCCATACCTGGGGGATTATGCAGAAAATGAAAAATGGCAAGAGCTATTAGTCAAAGGTGAATAACCGAGATGAAAGCCACACACTACCAAAATCAAAAAGAAAACTGAACAAGACAAGCCCATGAATGTCATGTGTTAATATTACTGCCTTAATTCTAGGTCTTGTAAGTAGATTTTTATACAGTTCTTTTCATATTTTTGAACCCAACTCCTTCCCCCACTTTTGGCAGCTTTAAGAATTCATGAGTAAGCTCGCTCTCTCCTTCTCCTACACTTACGGATAGAAACAAAATCTCTAGCTACAGCTTATTTGGTCTTCAAGATAACAGTTCACCTGACAAGCAACCATTTGTCACTAACTCATTTTTGGCATCATGACATTAGCTATGGGACAATAAACACAACAACTACCCATCAGTACCAGTATTTTCAACACCCTCTTAAATAATATCACCACCACTTTTGGTTTGATGTTTAATTTCATACTCCTAAGATTTTCCATATTGTTAACTGGGCATTCTTATGAGCTCTGCATAACTTGGTGGATCTCTAGACTTGAGGCACCCCTCCAGAAATTTTGTGAATAGCGCAGCACCCAACTTCAAAAACTAATTTATTATAATACCTGCTTGAAAAAGGGCCAGGAAGCAGGAAAAGCAGCCAGCATGGCAAAAAGTATGCTCTGCAGTGAGTAAGGGGAGGAGGAGCAGCAGCTAGAAGGGAAGAACCTGCACATATTTCCTTACCAAAGCCTGCAGTCATCTTGCTTATGTCCTCTCTCCTGGCGGCACCTTTCAAAGGCTACCATGGCATCCTGGATGAGAATTGCTGATATGACTAGACTGCATCTTGCCGAAAACTAAATACCATGTTCTCAGCCTCTGCCTGCGTAGTGTTCAACTGATCAAATTTTGCTGTGAAACTAGACTTCCTAAGGAGCAACAAGATCCTTTGTTTGTTAAAAGATGCATTGCAAATTAAAGAGAGATTCTCTCACATCGGCCTAAAGTTTCATTGCTTTTATAATCTTCCACAAGCAACAGGTGGATTCAATCACTGGAACTTCTGTATGCAAAAATGATTACTAAGGAATTAACATAAATATAGAAACTAATTTATGAAGGACTTGACCAAAATTAGGATTCCATTGCACTGTCTTTGCAGAAGCACATATAAATAGACCAAACTTCTATTCCTGATTAAAATATCAAGAAACTGGTGTTCTAACCATTTCAGTTCAACCACTGGCTTTAAAGTTTAAATCTATAACAGCACAGTAATAATAACAGTTGCTCAAAAATTAATTGCATACAAACAAATGCAACATAAATTTGAGTACTGACTCAGATTTAATGATGACTTTGAATTCGTACCAAGCATGGGATGTGCAAGTCAAATTGAGGATAAGACCTCACAGGTAAAATGGATCATAGCTCAAAAAAGCATGAAAGGGATTTTGGTTTTTTAAAGGAGATATGTGAATTAGCAGAGTGCGAATCACTATTTGGGGTTCTCTTAGATTTCTCGTATTTTCCAACCTTAAGTAGAATTTATTTCAGGAAGAAAGTTAATCGCACTGAAAGCAACAGATGTCAGTCAGCCAAATGAGATATCACAGTATTTTGCTGCTGGGTCTGTAATTTTCCTTTTGCATTAAGCAGACACTATATATAGTTCTTTGCCAACAAAGTACAGTGGCACTGACAAGACCTGCCAGTACCCATACTTCTTATAAGAAGGTGCTGGGCCCACAAAGCCTTGTAATTAAGCTGCAGGCAAGGAGTAGATACTAGATGGCTTGGGTGGGAGACTGCAAGCGATGACTAGCTAACAAGGTTGGTGTTACAAAGGGGGTAAGAACTCCAAGAGGGAATGCTGAGATGGAGAGGCCAGGTAACTGTGCTGGGAAAAAGCCAGAGGTAAATCACCCCTCTCCTAACCTACAGAAAAGACAGAAAGTTTTGCTCTTTTTTGTTGTGAATTCACAGTTGTATTGGCAAAGAATAAACTAGCCTGAGAAAATGTGAGCAGAGCTGACTTATCTGTCTAAAGCAACCCACTTACATTGCTTATGTTCACAAATCTCTCTTTAAAAAGTACGCTGATGTAAACTATATAAATCATTATGTGTAGATATAAAATCTGATTGGTCTATGTTAAGATCATAGATAGACACAGGATCATAGAAAGACACAGGAGGGACACCAGCCCACCAACTGTTAGTGCAGACTTAGTGAAGGGGCACTTGGAGGGGCTGGATGTGTTCAAATCAGCAGGCCCAGATGAACTTCATCCAAGGGTGCTGAAGGAATTGGCCAGTGTCATAGCAGAGCCACTGGCACAGCTGTTCAAGCACTCATGGTGCTCGGTCAGAACCCAGAGGACTGGAAAAGGGCCAACGTGGTCCGTATTTTCAAGAAGGGGAGGATGGAGGAACCAGGAAACTATAGGCCAATTAGTTTCACCTCTTTCCTTGGGAAAACTCTGGAAAAAATCATTAAGGATCACATTTGTAGTAGCCCAGCAAGGGAAATAATGCTGAAAGGAAATCAGCACGGGTTCACTGTAGATAGATCCTGCCCAACTAACCTTGTCTCTCTTTATGACCAGGTCACAAAATACTTAGACACCAGAGATGAGTTAGATGTAATCTACCCAGACTTTAAGAAGGCCTTCGATATGGTATTGCATTCTGTTCCTTTAATTAAACTGACAGACTGTGATGTAGATGATTACATGGTCAGGTGGGTGGCAAATTGGCTTACGGGTAACACACACAGAGTGAGTGGTGGTGGACAGATCAATAGTGACCTGGAAAAATGTGGGCAGTGGAGTCCTACAAGGCTCAGACCTTGGACTGGTGCTATTTAATATCTTCATCAGTAACTTGGATGACGTAGTAAGCACCCTGCCCAAGTTTGCAGATGATACTAAATTCTGGGGCAAAGTTAACACACCAGAGGGTAGGGAACAAATCCAGGTGGATCTGGACAGGTTAGAAAAATGGGCAGAATGAAATAGGATGCAGTTCAACAAAGACAAGTGCAAAGTGCTATACCTGGGCAAAAAGAACCACCAACACACTTACAGGCTGGGGGGTGACCTTCTCAGCAGCACAGCAGGGGAAAGGGATCTCAGAGTCATAGATGACTCCAAGATGAACATGATTTGTCAATGTGATGAAGTGATCAACAAAGCTAACCGCACTTTATTGTGCATTAGCAGATACATGACAAACAGGTGAAGGGAGGTGATGCTTCCCCTCTATGCAGCACTGGTCAGACCGCAGTTGGAGTACTGCGTCCAGTTTTGGGCACTGTACTTCAAGAGGGATGCGGAGAATCTTAAGAGGGTTCAGAGGAAGGCCACTCATATGGTCAGAGGTCTGCAGGCAAGGCCCTACAAGGAGAGACTGAGGGACCTAGATCTCTTCAGCCTTCGCAAGAGAAGGCTGAGAGGTGATCTTGTGGCTACCGATAAATTCATTAGGGGAAGGCAGCAGAGAATAGGAGATGCTCTATTTACTAGACCACCCCCTGGAGTAACTAGGAACAATGGCCACACACAGAGCAGATTTAGGTTGCAAATAGCTGGAGTGTGGAGCCGGCATCACACAGTGGCCATGGTGGAGCTGGCAGCCATGGTGTGGCCTGTACGGCACTGTCCACAGGGCCCCCCAAAGCATGAGGCCCAGGGTGGTTGCACTGATTCCCCCTCTCTCCCTCCCCCCCAGGGTGGCCCTGAGGGGTGTCAAACTCACCTGGCTCCCTGGGCCAAATACAGATTGTGGGATATATCCATACAAAAACCTCCAAGGGCAGGAAGTGCAGTGACTACACTAACCCCTGCAGGTACTTGATCCACTGCGCTCAAAGTGTCACGGGTTTAATGCTGCTGTCTTACTATCTGTTGCTGCTGAAACAAATTCCTGATGAGGCTCCATACACTGAAATTCGATGGTAAAGCAAGAAATAGTGGCATCAATCCCTTTGGCTATGGGAGCCCTCAGGACTAACACTCCTGCTCCTCACTCCACCTCTAATTTACTGGCCCCTTCAGAAGCCCTGCGGTTCAGACAACATGTCCACAGCCTGTATGTTTACTATCCCTGGACTTCATCAATTTGCAGAATTTGCAAGCACCGGTACTGGCTTGTTGCAGAATAAGTAAACACTGTTGTCTCTCTTCCCAGATGTAGAGAGAAATAAGGTGGCTCAAGCCCCTGGGGTGTATAAGAGAGCTGTCACGGTGGTCAGCACAGAATATAATGTGAACATAAAGTAAAACTACGAATCAGTTGC